CCACCCACATTACGCAGTTTCTTTGCTTGCCTACTCTGTTACTGTGAGGTGGCGAATGCTTAAGAATTATGGAACGAATTCGCTCCAGCAATGTCTGAAGATTATACACTTGAAGGATATGATGAACGGCAAGCTACTGCGATCGCTTATCATGATGTTGCAGAAAAAATGGTACTTATGGGCAAAGTCTTGCAACAAATCATCGTGCCTCCTGCCAATGAACGACCGCTCATGCCCACAAGACCTGTGAACTACGATTTCCATTGATCTGAAGGGTTGCGTTTGTTTGAAACTTTGAACGCGGGCTAAAGAAATGCGGCTGATGATATTTGCGATGCCATGACCTCCAATGATCATCGCTGCTTCTTTATTGATGGACCCGGTGGGACAGGCAAAACATACATGTACACAGCAATTTACAATTTAGCAGTTGGACAGCCACAACAAGTTCTTTGTGTAGCGTGGACAGGTATCGCTGCAAACTTGCTTCTTGGAGGTAGGACTGTAAACTCAGCATTCAAGCTGAATATGGCAGACGGAAATCGCTCATCAACTATGAAGCGAGAACAGAAGGAAGCACGCCAGCTCATGAACACCGACATAGTTATCTGGGATGAGATATCGATGGCACCAAGATGGGCACTTGAAGCTGTGGCTGTCCTCTTGCGTGATATAATGCAGAACGATAGGCCTTTCGGCGGGAAGTTGCTCATCGTGGGCGGTGATTTCCGACACATCCTTCCTGTGGTAGAACATGGGCAAAGAGAAGAAATTGTTGATTCTTGCGTTACTCGATCGGTGCTGTGGCCGCTTTCTAAAGTGTCGTTTGCAGTCCAATATGAGATCAAGAAATGCGGGTCATGACTGGCATAGATTTCTCCTTGTAAGGAAAGCTACTTAACTTAGCTCGGCCTTTTGGTAAAAGGCATATGTATTCTGAATCAGCTTCAAACGCTGATTCCAAATATGCGATTCTTAGCTGCCACGCACCATTCCTAAGCGAGTTATGGGCTTTTTCCTACGCAAAATTGGCATACTAGAACATGAGAAGACTGCCTTAGATAAAAATCTGCAAGAAAAAGATGCTGAGGTATCGAAATAGTACAAATCCAATCTTTCCTTCTAAAAAAAGGCTTAACGCAGGTGTATCAGCACTCAAATGATAATGACGTGATGCCCATGAGTCGATAAGCATGCAATGTTGTGAAAAAGCCCATAACTCGCTTTGCAATGGTGCGTGGCGAATCACCGTTCAAAACTGATTCAGACTATACATTAGGTTGGCACGAAAGTTCGTTCACACCATTTTCAAAAATTCATAACTCTTTAAACTCGCAACGAATTTGTACGATCAAAATTTTGCTCAAGAAAGGAACTCATGCGCTTTGCAAATGTACTAAATTGTTCGTTAATGTTCACAAATGACGGAGACAAAAGCTCAAAACCAAAATTACTTAAAATTTGAATTTTTCATGTAGGGTCATAAAAAATCGGAAACTTGCAACAAAAATCAGAGCAGTCAGTATTATAGGTTCATTCACCAGCTCTTTCTAACAATGCAAAGTTTGCGCCAATTGAGCGTCTCTATGAAAAGTTATGATTTTTGAGCAAGCAGTACAAAAGGGCGAATTTGATTTATTTTGACATTTTTCAGAGAAATCATAACTTTTCATAGAGACGCTCAATCGGCGCAAACTTTGCACTGTTAGAAAGAGCTGGTAAAAGAAACTACAATACCGGCTGCTCCGGTTTTTGGTGCACGTTTCCGATTTTTTATGACCCTACACGAAAAATTCAAATTTTGAGTGATTTTGGTTTTGAGCTTCTATCTCCGTCATTTGTAAACTTTAACAAACAATTCAGGTACATATGCAAAGAGCATGAGTTCCTCTCCTAAGCAAAATTTTGATCATACAAATTCATTTATAGAGTTATAAAATTTTGAAAATGGTGCGAACGAACTTTCGTGCCAACCTAATATGTCCCTTGCCACAAGGCTGAGCTAAGTTAAGTAGCTTCCGTTGTTAGTGTAAGAAACGGTCAAGCCAACAATGAAGAAGGCAGAGTTGATCTGCAAAATGATGTCCTTTGTTCAGGAAACATAGTCACGGAGATCTTTGGTGAAGTAATTGATGCGCGAGAGGAAGGCCTTTACAAGAAAGCAATACTTGCTCCCAAAAACGCGTGTGTCAAGAGACTTAATGATGAAGAAATGGAGTGATTGCATGTTGACAGTGCACAGGATGAGCGATTGTATAAAAGTGCAGACGAGGCAGTGGTTCAGGAGGGAACTTCCGCAGAAAGGTATCCAGTAGAACACCTCACTACCCTCGAGCCTTCCCGTATGCCCCTGCATCACTTGCGGTTGAAGAAAGGCGCCGTTGTAATGCTGCTCCGTAATTTGGACGTGGTCAATGGTTTATGCAATAGGACGCGTTTGAAGGTAGAAACATTGGGACGACGCATCCTTGATTGTCGTTTTATATGCGGTGAACATAAGGATAAATTTGCGATAAGTCCTAGAATAGACAACTACTGGGACGACAATGTCCCCTTTCGACTAAAAAGAAAACAGTTTCCCGTTCGAGTCGCCTTTGCGATGACAATCAACAAGTCGCAAGGACAATCCTTTGATAAAGTGGCTTATACCTCCCAGAGGACGTATTAGTCATGGCCAACTGTATGTCGCATTCTCGCGCGTTCGTTCTCCAGAAGGTTTGAGAGTAAATTGTCCAGACAAATCAGTTTCTGAATCCGAGGACACCATTCGATTCAGCTCGGCGAGACGCATCATCCAGTATATAGGAGTGCCACAATCTAGCAGGATATGATAGGTATACGCTAGACAGTAAGTTTCCGCTCAGTTTTGCAGTTTTTTGTTTGGTTGGATTGTTCAGTTGGCTGACAACAGTATCGCCATTGATTTGTCGCTGATGACACATAGGAAGTATACCGGAGGAGTATGGTAGAGAGTCACGCTGATCGAATTTCTAAGATCTGCTCAAGATCACAATACCGCTCACAGAATGTGCAGAATCTCTGTTAACTTTGCGGAAATCCGAGATTTAAGCTCAAGTCCGCGACATTCTGGGAATCCCACGACACTCCAGGAATCCGCGAAATAACGATTTCACGCAAAATACGCAGCACCATAACTTCCTTCGAATGAATGTATTCTGAATCAGGAAACAGCATTGTGTTCAGATCGTCAAGGCGAATCTTTTGGTGTACTGCATGCCCTCGATATTCCGTTTCCAGTTTTCTCGAATTTTTCTCTGGACGTCCCTTCGCAAGAATATAACGCAGCGTCTGTGTATTATAAAAGATTACAGTAAGCAACATTCAATAGCATTGCTCTTGTAGGTTATCGTGCGCTAAGTAGTAGCCGCAGACTTTCCGAAAAAGGTAGGAGCGCCGGTGAATTCTGGAAAAATCACGCGTTTTTAGATTCTACTCGCCATAACTTCCTTCGGAATAAGTACATTTTGAATTCGAAAACAGTGCTGTGCTCAGCTTATCAAGGCGAATCTTTTTATATACAGCATGTCCTTGATATCTCGATTTCAATATTCTTGAAACTTTTTGCGGACGTCTCTTCGCGAAGGTGTAAAGCAGCGAGCATTGTCCCGAGTAAATTCCGGCAAGGACCTTTCGATAGTACTTGTTCTGTAGATTATGATGCACCAAACAGTAGCCGCAGATTTCTTTTCAAAGGAAATAGAAGGGCTGATGAATTGTGGAAAAATCTTGTCGTCCAATTCTACTCGCCATAGCCCTAGATTACGAAGCTCTTTTGCTAAGCAGATGTGATTACCGTAATCAGCAGGTCGGACAACCTCTATGAGCAAGTTTTCCGAGATGTTCGGGTAATTTCATTTTCTCCCGTTTTAGGCTCTGGAAACTAGCCGATGGATTTTGGTCAAAGTTGATACTCTTCTGAATTGTAAGGAAACTTCGCTTATAGAGGTTTTCAAACACGCTCTTTACGAAAATCGTGGTCTCGGAGGATTACAAGGTCTTTTTGGAGAGATACGGTGAGGTAACTGTAAATAAATCACGAAAGCTCGTAAATTCGCCTGCACCTCTCGCATACCTGTCAGGAAACCTGCTTGACTGCTTATAAAGGTTAAAGTAATTAGAAATGTGCCATCGAACAGTGCATGTCTCAAGCTCCTGTTTATAGAAATCGCCGAGTTAGAGCTCAATGACTCCCACTGTACTGAATATGATGCTTGAGTGTGCGATTTCTAGACTCATGAATAAAAACAACAGTAAGAGTTTTTGTGAAGATTTTTGTGCCAAAACGAGATTACTCATAGGCAATCTCACACTGACACTTGGTGAGGAGCTGTCTTTGATCTTTCTACAAATGGATTTGGTAAATAAAAGCGGTAAAGTAGATAAACTACGACCACCTAACATGTTTTATTCCTTTCAGCAAAACTTGTGTCCAGCAAGTTCGTTGTGATGATAAAATATAGGCATCATTAGAATCGAGCAATAGCACTTTAAGATGATCTATACGCTTGTAAAATTCTGAGTTGCTCTCAATTTTCTTCAGTGGGAAACCAACTAAGCCAGCCGTGGCCATATAATAGCTTGATCATGCCCGTAAATGGTGTAGTTTTTGTCTTGCACTTATTGAAATTGATAGTAAGCTCGTGATTCATTGTCAAAATTGTTTTTCCCAACTCTCGCTTAAACCAGCTCTACCAACCCACTCCGTTTTCACTCGCAGCAAGAACGCTTTCACTGAATTACCCGACTGCAATTGATGGCGCTATTAGCTTTGAGATTCTGGCTACCTTCTATACGGAGAATAACACTTCTTTGGCAAATACAGTGCTATAAGGAGTCTCGGCGACGATGAAACACAGTGGCAGAGAACAGTTCTGCACGCTTAGAACTTGAAGCGATGCGGAAAAAACGACTAAAACCGAGCAGCAAGGTGCCATTTAAACACACTTCATCTCTCATGGTCTCCTTGTACTGGTTCGGCTATGGACGCGAACTTGATGGTGACGGGTGTCGTCACGGCATCGGCCGTCGCCATCGTCCTCTGCTTATTCTCCGCGGCTTGGATGCTCGCCGATGTGAACAACTTCTACGACGCCACCATGAAGGAGATGTTTGAATTCAAAGTAAGTAGACCTTCGGAGTGTCCTTAAGGACGGTTGCCCGACTTAAACAGAGTAAGAAGTTATTTTTATGGAGTAATAGTTTTCTATATAGTTTCTTTTAGCTATTTCGCAAGCTCAGCGTAATCTCTCAATCTCTTTAAAAGCATGTATTCCATACCTTTCAATTTTTTCCAGTAAGTTTATTTCACATTCAGTAAAAATCAGTCAGAAGGAAAGGGCCAGCTCAAGCTTGTAGTGTTGTTACATAAGTTCTTTGTTGCTGTTCTTTTTGGTACAAACCATTGAAGTTGAAACAAAAATTCGTTTTGTTTCTGTTCTGTATAGTATAAAGTGACAGAGCATAAAAATTGTTATGCGATCCCTAGAACTCCGAAATAAGAAAGGATGGCAGCAGAAAAAGATAATAAGAATGTTATTTGAGTCAAATGTAAGTTTAGAACTACATCAGAGAAAAATTTGAAAAATCGTCTTTTACTGTAGAAAAGATTGAAATTTTTGCATTGCAATCTTGCTGGAATATCCTCGGTACTTGTTATTTTAACCACCTTAAAATTCTGATTTCTAGTAAATACTCTTCTTGAAGGTTAGTGTGACAGTCAGATCACCCTTAGGCTCAGCAGCTGCCTCTTTTTCTTGTATGGATTGGTTCCACCATGAATAATGAATTAATATGGGAGTATTAAATCGTCTTACTTTGTCACTGGAACCTCATGCCCTATGAAGTAGTCGCGAAGTATGTTTGCCAGATTAACTCGCTCGAAGTAAACCTCCCTCTTCAAGATAACTTGCCAAAGGGAGCCGCCATGTCACCCGTTTTAGTAGGAGCGAGATTGCTACAAGTTACGGTATGTAGGAAGAAGGTTGCCCTGGAAGAGTGCGTCTTTGAAGATTTTTTACCGCAAATGAACATCGACATCTTGGATAAGATTTGTTCTCAAATTCTAAATGAATTACTTCCAGCAATGAAGTTGTTTCATATCTACTTTTAGCAAAAAGTGAACCCTTAATCTGAGAAGAAGTATTACTTGCGTGAGAAAAGTATAATTTCAAAAAGAGGAGGTCCTTACTGTACGGACTCGATTATCGTTGTAGAGCACTGCTGGCTAGATATAGAAACGTCGTCTTGATATGCAGTTCTTGTAATGCTTCAGTGGAAAGTAACCCCTTAAATTTTAGAAAACAGCACCGAAATACTGTATGCACAAAACGGTCAGATCCAAGCATAAGTAGCATTGCCTGTGCCAATGTTGCCTTTTCAGGATCTCGCCAACGGAGCTTGGACCGCTCTGACGGAACTTACTGTTCCTGCAAAATCTTCCAAATCTCAGATGCTATTCAACACTATCATACGTCAGAAACGAGGCGATTACGTGACGAAAGGTGAAGGATACGCGAAAGGTGGCGGAGGACTGGGAAATGGAGGTGGAGGGTACGGGAGAGGTGGCGGTGGCAACGGAGGTGGAAGTGGAGGGTATGGCGAAAAGGGTGGTGCAATTGGCGTCGGTGTTGGCGGAAATGGAGGTTACAGAGATGGAGGCGCTGGAGGGGGAGGTGGATGCGGTTGCGAACCAATGAAAACTGCTTGCCCTCCAGGACCGCCTGGACCACCGGGACTTCCTGGATTGCGCGGTCTGGATGGGGAGCCTGGAGAGCCTGGCACACCCGGTTACGGCATGGGCGAAAATGGCTACGGCGGTGATGGCGGCGGTTGCGCAACATGCCCGCCAGGACCTCCCGGACCACCTGGAAGGGATGGTCCTCCGGGACCTCCAGGGCCACCGGGGATGCCCGGCATGGGAGGCGGAAATGGAAGAATGGGACTACCAGGTCCACGAGGACCACCTGGAGATCCCGGTCCGCCCGGCCCACCAGGACCACCAGGACGAGATGGAGCACCGGGAAGGAGCGGAGCTGGAAGAGGTATTCCGGTACCAGGACTTCCAGGCCCTTCAGGGCCACCCGGACCTATGGGTCCTCCAGGTAGGGATGGTCAAGCAGGAGTGGGGGCTGCCGGGCCACCAGGGCGTATGGGTCCACGCGGTCCGATGGGACTTCCAGGACCCAACGGTATACCAGGACCCCCAGGAGAGCCGGGGGCTGATGGTGGAGATGGTAAGTCTTAGCGCTAAATCTTCCTTTTTCTCTTCTTCAAAAACTCTTTCAGCTGGCTACTGCCCTTGTCCTCCTCGCAACAGTCATTTCCGAGGGGTCTCGAAGAGAAAGGTCCAAATTTATTTGAGAAAAAATTGTTCGAATGAACCGCTTAATTTTCAGAAACTCGTCTCCTAAGCAGCTAGAACAATGACTGCGATAGTGCGCAGAGTGACCAGAAGATCAATAGGGAGCTGAGATAGTTCAATCGTCTCTCGATTGACAAACAAACAAACATACCACCAGCATTTATTCAAATGTAATAAAAAGCAGTACTAATGTTCAAATTGTCTACATTGTGGAGAATGTAGAGTGACTCGGCGACAATAACTTGAACAAGCCTCAGCCAATAATTACGATTGCTGTCTGTTCAAAAATGACTCTGATAATGGCGTTTTTTCAGCAAATCTGTTATTCCACACTTCTTCAGACTTACATTTTGAGACATAATATCAATCAGCGCTCTAATCTGACTCCGAACCTGAATGCAGGTTGTCAGAAGACACCTCTTCTTTCTAAAAAATTTTCTAGTCATCCATCTAGTCTCACATTACCAACCTGCCGTCTTTTCTTGCCTGGTTTTGGCACCACTCCAATCCAATCCAGTTTTCTATGCAAACTAGAATTGTTGTCAGTATCGAATCGATTTTTTTGCTAAGGTTTAGAATCTTACACGTAATCCGGTTCATCTGCATATCTCATTAATATAGGTCACAATCCGCTTGGAGTCGGGAGGAACTACTTTATGTTATAACATCTGGGTACTGAAAATTGTAAATATAATAGTTTTGACTGCAAATAGGACGTTCGAGTTGAATCTTACATGCTTTGATTTTTGAAAAATTTCCTCGTGTGGTACAACTTTAATTCTGAGGGCACGTTTCCAAGGAAGGCCATGCGCATCATCGAAAATTCGAAAACCTGAAACTCTATTCTGATAAACACATCAACGATTTAGGCTCTAAATTTCATTCATTCATTAGAATCTTGAACAGAATTACCATTGAAGCAAAGATTTAGCGCTGCAAAGGAAAAAGAAAAGAAAAGAACAGAGAAGGATTGCAATATTAGATATAGTTGTTGAGATTTTTGCCGCAACGTCAAAGGCGCTTGCGTGTGATGAAAAATCAATAATTTGCAGTCTACGGCTCAGAGGCATTGCTCTGCGACAAACTATCGATATTATTTCCTTATCGAGAACTACTTTGCAATTTTTAACGTGATCGTTAGCTAAATCGCAAGTTCACCCACAGCAAACTTTTCCGCACTTACCATAGATATTCAAGACTCCAAATCGTCCTTGAGTCCTTGTTCTAAACATTTATGACATGCTCTTGATGCAAAACGTACTGTACCCAGAAAACTGATTTTGCTCGGGCTATTCTGCAAGAAAAACGATATTTTTTTCTATCAAATGTGTGATAGAAATGTCTACGCTTACTTTGCTTCCTTTGTATCTCCCACGGTAAATTTACGAGCAATACCGAAATCTAGCATATAGACGGTATTTTGTTTTTCGCCGAAGCCTACTGCATAATTTTATGGCTTGATATCCCTAAAAATTTTCATTACCATTTTTCATGCATTTTTGGCTGCAAAAATGCTTGCGCTACCTGTGTAAATAGCCTACAATACCACCTGTAATTTGTGAAAAAAAATGGCGGCGGCACTTAACTCACGCGGCGCCGCCGCAGTTAGGTGACAAACGCCGCGTCGCGCGACAAAGTTAAGCGGCAAATGCCGCTTTTCCGCTTAACTTTGTCGCGCGACGCGGCGTTTGTCACCTAATTGCGGCGGCGCCGCGTGGGTTAAGTGCCGCCGCCATTTTTTTTCACAAATTACGGGTGGAATTGTAGGCCATGTAAATCTTGTACAGCGGCTAATGTTTGTAGACTACATTGTATCACGGTTGACCTGTTATAGTTATGACCAGGGTAAAGCGGGGGGTGCGGCACTCGACCGTCGGATACGACCCCCCCCCCCCTGATTGCTGTCTTAATAAGACCCCCCTCCTAAACTATACACTTAAGATAGTATTACCTGAAGGCTCTGTCAAACATAATGGACAACATATCCATAATTAGCATGTCAAATACCCCCTGTAGACAAAGTGTGAGCGAATTCTGAAGATTCAAGATACTAGGCTACCTAAGTGAAATGGTCAAATTCCAACATGGTTAACTTTGTTTTAAAGGTGAATTAGCTATCCGTTTTTGCACTCAAGACAAAGTACTACTCCTTCTTTGTCCACCTCAGGAATCCCGCTTCAGAAGACCTCCAAACTGTGGAATTAGAAGCCAACCAAAATCTCATTTTTCCCATTTTTCGCTTTTGATGGCTGTGCTTTCACCAAATATTACTCAGAGCTAAGAAGACGAATCAGGCTCAAAACATCCCTATGGAATCTACGAGGTTTAGGCTATCGATTCATATAAATATTGTCCGCTAAAAATGTTTTTTTGATATAGTTAATGGCCTGCGGCACCCCCCCCCCCCCTCAAAACCTGCGGCTGCCGCAGGGGTGCCGCAGGGGTGCCGCAGGCCATTAACTATATCAAAAAAACATTTTTAGCGGACAATATTTATATGAATCGATAGCCTAAACCTCGTAGATTCCATAGGGATGTTTTGAGCCTGATTCGTCTTCTTAGCTCTGAGTAATATTTGGTGAAAGCACAGCCATCAAAAGCGAAAAATGGGAAAAATGAGATTTTGGTTGGCTTCTAATTCCACAGTTTGGAGGTCTTCTGAAGCGGGATTCCTGAGGTGGACAAAGAAGGAGTGTGCTTTGTCTTGAGTGCAAAAACGGATAGCTAATTCACCTTTAAAACAAAGTTAACCATGTTGGAATTTAACCATTTCACTTAGGTAGCCTAGTATCTTGAATCTTCAGAAATCGCTCACACTTTGTCTACAGGGGTTAATTGACGTGCTAATTATGGATATGATACGAATATCATGTTATCGCTATAATCAGATCACCTAACTACGACCCCCTCCCCTTTTGACTCCTCAATACGACCCCCCCTCTGCGGCGTGCCGCACCCCCCGCTTTACCCTGGTTATGACCGAGTATTTTCTATTATCTTCCAGAGACTTCCCAACCAAACCCATGACAAGAAACTGAGAAGTAGTCAAGGCTAGCGCTGATCCACAGGCCTAAGTAGAGCAGGAGTTACCTTGAATTTTGCTGTTTTTCCTCGATCCACGAACGCTACGAAATGTTGTTTATGATTGGGATCTGTCGGTTCATGACATTTCATTAGTACCATCACTTCTATCTTCAATCGCAGTAATCTTTCTCCAAGAACCAATTCTGTCTTCCTAGCGGATTCCTGTAACTTGCTATTTGAGTGCCTCATCAACGAATGGGTACCAAAGAGAAATAATACTCACTGCTTTATCTGGATCATTATGCCTTGCAACTTTATAGACATCCCCAAAACCACCAGAACCGAGAAGCTTGATAACTCTCCAATTGAAATCTTCGAGGTGATTACCATAAAAAGGACATGGCAAGGCGAATTCTTCTATGTTTGCGGCGTTTATCACTTCATTTTCGTATAAAAAATTTCCAATTCTTTTCGTGTCGTGTTTTCGCAAATAGTTTGAAAGATAAGAGCGCCAGTGCGTCACCCCTCTTCGCAAGGGCTCGCATTGGCTCTTCTATCCATATGCCAAAACTCATTCTCGCATAACATGGCATTAAAGCATGCGCAATGCCCGCCTTCACAAATGAATCGTAAACAACTGCTCATTCCGTAAGCTTTTTCGTGTAAGATCGGTATTTTATGTGGACGAAACTTTGGGAGATGAAGAACAGATGCAGAATTAAAACACTTTTGAGTGTTCTCATAGCTTGGTGGTCGCCATAAGGATAATATCCACGGCGAGTTACATACATGTGCAAAAATCTTCTCAAATGCTCAGATAAAAATCTGGCAAATTGACCATTTAGCAAATAATTCGTTTTGGCGCCTTTTTCGTGAAGTAATAGACTTCTACCACTTTTTTCGCGCTAAAGGTCATGGCTTGCCCGTTCACTTGCCAAACATAATCACGACTTTGCAATAAGTGGTAATACGGGCCCAATATTGCGCGCCAGACCTTAAGTGGATCCTTTTGGGATGCGATTTTTGAGAGACCTACTCAATGGGTCTGCTCGATCTTTGGCATGGTGAATCTGGATGGTGGCAGTGCGCGTTGGGCAAAAAATTGCGGTTTGAAACCTTCTCGTTCTGTGAATTTCGTTACAGACAGACAGACGCACACAAAAACACGAGAACACCCTTAGCCCGTTATTAGGGATCGGTCAGAGTTTGGCAGTGTTGCCGGTGTTGAAAGCGTTGCCAATGTTGAAAGTGTTGAAAGTGTTGATTGCCGGTGTTGAACGTGTTGCCAATGTTGCCAATGTTGAAAGTGTTGAAAGTGTTGCCGGTGTTGAACGTGTTGCCAATGTTGCCAATGTTGAAAGTGTTGAAAGTGTTGAAAGTGTTGAAAGTGTTGAAAGTGTTGAAAGTGCTGAAAGTGTTGAAGGTGTTGCCGGTGTGAGAGTGTTTCTCATTTTTTTTTCGACCGACCTCAAAGGCTGATGAGTATAGAGTATAGTATAGTAAGCTTAGAGTACTGCTTTTGCATGCAAAAGATCCTTATTCCAAATTGACTAAAGTAGAGCACTTGTTTTACATAGGCAACCTCCATTATTTGAGAACGCTGCTAAAATCCGACGAGTCATGCGTGTTCGGTGTCAAATCCGGCGTTTTGCGATTAGTGAGCAAAACACATACTCAGCAACGGGCAATGTCGGTCGAGCAAGAATGAGAAACACTTCCAACACTTTCAACACCGGCAACCATATCTTCGATACATAGAGCCATGTACTCTGGTAACCTTCACTTTAAGCGTCATGGAACAAACTTTCACCTGGAGAGAAGTACGAAATCATCCGAGGCGAAACCCCGGATATTATGAC